GCCCTCTTCCCTTAGTATTTCTACCTCTAGAATCTGTCCCACCGTTTCCACCGTGTCCAGGTTGAACGTGACGTTATCCTTGCGCCACAGTTCCCGTTTTTTGCGAACCACGGCTCGAATGCCGAGGGCGGCATCCAGCATTTCCTTGGTTTGAGTGCTGTTCAAGCCCCACATCTGAAAGCGGCTGGTCCTGGCGCCCGATTCCTGACCCTCTACGTAGTAGATAACGTGGGCGGTGCCGTTTTCCTCGCGAATCTTCAGCCGCCGGTTGGAGTCCTGAACGGGTAAGTCGGGGAGGTTATAGTAATAGTCCACCTGCTCGGCCGTTTCTATGCGGTCTGCCCCGTGTTTTTGAAGTATGTCCCTGACGGGCGCAAAGTCGGTGCAATAAGCTTTTATTTCCCGGTTAAGCTGTTCGTTCATCGCGCTAATCCTCTGATTATTTTCCTGAATGGGGTTTGTTGGGAATCCTCGGGAAGGGCTCTGCCTTTGCTACATTTGGTTGACTCTCCTCTTTACCTCGTTATTCTATGTTAATTATATTATATATTAAAGTAACTATATAAGTAAAGCCAATACCATATACTAGAGATGTTGTTTTGAACCTGCTCTCCTGTTTCAAGTTTCCAGGTCCGATACTTGGATGCGAAAAATTGGCTCAGTCGTTAAACCGGTGGGACAAGGGCCGCCAAATCGAGTAGAATATCGTCAGAACTATTAAGCTAAAATCTCAGGAGGAGAGTTATGGCAGACAATGACGTCCTGTTAATGGCTCACCTGATGCGCCGAGCCGGATTTGGCGCCTCTTACGCCGAACTGGAAGCACGGGTCGCCAGGGGCTACGAAGCCACGGTGGAGGAACTCCTCTTCCCCGAAAACCAGCCCGAGCTTGATACCGATGTAATGCAGCGTTACATGGGCTGGCGGGATATGGGCTACCTGGCCGCCAACCAGGGTTATTGGACCTATCGCATGGTCAATTCCCCGCGGCAATTGCAGGAAAAGATCTGCCTCTTCTGGCACAGCATTTTCTGCGTTGGTGACTCCAAGATTATGGCCCCGCACAACATTCTGGAGCAGTTGGAACACTTCCGCAACGATGGTCTGGGCCGCTTTGACGAACTGCTGCTCAAGATGTCCACCAACCCGGCCATGCTGTACTACCTGGACAATCAGCTCAGCCACAAGGATGCCGTCAACGAAAACTGGGGACGGGAGTTGCTGGAGCTCTTTTCCATGGGTGTGGGCATGGACGGCCAGCCCAACTACACCGAAGACGATGTGAAGGCCTGCGCCCAGGCCTTCACTGGCTGGACAGTGGGCAACGGAATTCCCCGTTATCCCTACGGCCGCCACTACAACCAGTTCCTCTACAATCGCCGGGATCACCTGGAGGGCGATAAGACCTTCCTGGGGGAGACGGGCAACTTCAACGGCCACGACATAATTCGCATTATTGCCAAGCAGCCGGCCACCGCCCGCTTCGTCTCGCGTCACCTGTATAACTTCTTCGTGTCCGACGAGCCCCAGGTACCGGCGTGGCAGGACGCCCCGCCCCGGGACATGGAGGCCATCAAGCTGCTGGAGGAGGAATACTTCCGATCCGGCTACCAGATCCGGTCCATGCTGCGGGTGCTATTCAACTCCGACTTCTTCAAGGAAGCTCGTTTCTCCAAGGTGAAGAGTCCGGCTGAATTGGTGTGCAGCACCCTGCGCTTCATGGGCGATTTCTCCCGACCGGCGCCACGAATGTACGACATGGCCCTGGAGATTCGCTATATGGGCCAGGACATTATGAATCCCCCCACCGTGGAGGGCTGGCACACGGGCAAGGAATGGATCGACAGCGGCACCCTGGTGGAGCGTGTCAACTACGCCGCCAGCGAAATGGGTCGGGTGGGAGCCCCGGGCATCCAGGCCGTGGTACAGCGGTTCAGCGATGCCGGTCCTTCGGTGTCCTCCGGTGAGTTGCTGGACGGCTGCCTGGAAATGCTGGGCGGCTACCAGTTGATGGACGAGACGCGCAACCTGTTCCTTACCCACTTGGGCCAGGACAAAGATATATCCACCAGGGACACGGGCTTCAACCATCAGGTGGGGCAGGTACTTCAGCTTATCGTGTCGACTCAGGAGTACCAGTTCACCTAGGAGTCCATATTCGGGGATAGATGTCCAGGGATTGACGTCCCGGAGATTGCAGTCTGACAAAGGGAAAGTATGGGGGCGGGTTTGAAGAACCCGCCCTCTTTTTCATTAGGCGCCATTGCTGGACGGAGTATTCGGGTTGGGATAGGATAGCGAAACCAGGAGGGGATGTGATGGAAAGGGGACGCCCGTGGTTTCAAGAGTTTTCCGTCCAACAGAGGGTGGCTGATCACATTCTTGTTGTGAAACCGCCGCCAACGTCTGCCACCGGTTTAAGATAACTTCTGAGGGTAAGAGAGGCAGAGTTTACTATGAAAGCAGTCTGGTTTGAACAGAACGGCCCCGCTGAAGTCATGCAGGTGGGCGAGATGCCTGAGCCTGAGCCGGGGCCCGGCGAGGTCCGCGTCAAGGTGATTACCTCCGGCGTAAACCCCTCTGACTGGAAGCGGCGCCTTGGTGCGACTGCACCCATGGCCTTCCCCCGGGTGATACCCCATCAGGATGGTGCAGGCGTCGTAGACCGCGTGGGCTCTGGGGTGCCGGCATCCCGCCTGGGAGAACGCGTCTGGCTCTTCGAGGCGCAGTTCGGACGGCCCTTCGGTTCGGCGGCGGAATACACGGTGCAGCCTTCGGGACACGTGGTGCGGATGCCCGATTCCGTGAGTTTTGAGCAGGGAGCCTGCCTGGGCGTACCGGCAATGACCGCCCACCGCTGCCTGTTCGCCGACGGGCCGATAGACGGGAAGGTAGTCCTGGTGCCAGGCGGAGCGGGCGCCGTGGGTCACTACGCGGTCCAGGAGGCCAAACTGGCCGGGGCGACGGTCATCAGCACCATCAGTTCTGACCACAAGGCCAGTATCGCCACCGCTGCTGGAGCGGACCACACCATCAATTACCGTACCGAGGACGTCACCGCCCGGATCATGGACCTCACCGGCGGCGAGGGCGCCGACCGTATCGTGGAGGTCGACTTCGCTGCCAACTTCCCGGTTACAAGCCAGGTCCTGAAGACGTCGGGCGTAGTGGCGATCTACTCCTGGGGCACGGCCCAACAGCCGGCGGTGCCGCTGCAGTTCCGCCGCAGCAACACTGTGGTGCGAAACGTGCTGGTCTACGAGATGCCGGAACTCGCCAAGGAAGCCGCTATAGCCGACATCACCGCCTGGCTGGAGTCGGGCGCGTTCAGCCATCAGGTCGGCCCCCACTTTCCGCTGGAGCAAACGGTGGCGGCCCACCTCGCGGTGGAAGGGGGCGCCATCGGGAACGTTATTGTCGATGTCGGCAATGCGTAGCTGAGAGCCGAAGGACCGTGACCGGTCTGCTATGAGAAAAGGTAAGGCCCCCGATGCTTCGGGGGCCTTTGTTTTTGGTCTGGATTAATCAGGAAAGAAATTGGTGCCGGAGGAGGGACTCGAACCCACACATCGTAATGATAGCGGATTTTAAGTCCGCCGCGTCTGCCATTCCGCCACCCCGGCTAAACTGTGAAGAACCGGCGTCGGGACGCCTGCCGCTAACACGAAGGGTTTACAACCGACTTGAAGGAGGACAGTTCAGCAGTTTCCGGTGAAAACAATTGGAGGCGACGGGCGGATTCGAACCGCCGAATAGAGGTTTTGCAGACCTCCGCCTTAGTCCACTTGGCTACGTCGCCTTGCGCTTCACCGGTAAGTATCTGCCGGGTCCCGGGCCGATTTGGTGCCGAGGGCGGGACTTGAACCCACACGAGCTTACGCCCACGGCCCCCTCAAGACCGCGTGTCTACCAATTCCACCACCTCGGCCTGTCGGCGTACACCGCATTATAACACATTTAACAATGGGGACAATATTTTTTACTATCTGCACGCAGGTAAAAAATAGCGCTAATGGGATGGCAAGGCAGGTTCAAAGCGGACTATTCTCCGGAATATCCAGTCCGACAAACCATGAGGAGACACCCATGTGTGAGTGTCTGTTGCAAATCACGGCCAAGCACCCTTCGTTGACACTCGCCTACCCCAACCCTAGAATTCAGGCAACCCTTGACCAGGAGCCTTTCATTGTCAATCAGGTATGGCATATCCCTCACGCTGGACCCCGGATTTACCGCCGGTTTGCATCGCGCGCGGCAGGTTATTTGCAGCCAGTACGGCTGTTGGGCGGCAGAAATGCACTCGGTTCACGTACCCATGACCGGCTACTTCCCCTGCTCTGAGGCGGCGGTGTCGACCCTGGACACCGGGCTGGAAGCAGTGGCTGGGGAGTTCCGAAAAGAACACTCGGGAGCCCGTGTGACTCGCCAGGGGATTGTCGCCGAGGCCGGAGAACAAGGAAGCATATACCTGGAGTTTTCCGGCGGAGAAGAGGCCTCGCCCGAAGCCCACGCTGTCAGGCGACTGCGGGATCAGGCAGAGGCAACCCTGGCCGGTTTGAACCCGGCTCCTGATGCTGGAAGCCAGCCTCTCAGATTCGCCCTGCTCCAGTATGCTGGCTTGCCGCCCCGGGTGTTTCAGGGCGCAGTCCGCTTCGCTGAAGGCGTCGTAAATGGCCTGGAATTGGCGGACCACATCGGCCTCGCCGAATTGGTCCTCTTACGATATGAGTCAGACGCAGCAACCGAGGACTGGAGGGATGGGGGCTGGGCCGTTGATCTGCGTTGGCAGATGATCAATTGTTATCCCCTCACCAATTCCTGATCCGAATGGACTGGGTCGCTTTGACCAAAATACCTATAGTTCGAATCCTGTCCATTGTTGGTCGAACTATCTTTAAGGAGATTGACCTATGAGCACCACCGCCAAGACCGCCACCAAACCCACCACCCGCCTGCGGGAACTATTGGCCGCCGACGGCCTCATCGTAGCTCCCTTTATCATGAACGCCCTCCACGCCCGCATTGCCGAGTCGGTGGGCTTTGACGCCGTTTATATGACCGGCGCCGGCACCTCAGCCGAAAAGGGCTTCCCCGACGTGGGGATGCTCACCATGACGGAAATGGTTACCAACGACAAGTACATCGCCAATGCGGTGGACATTCCGGTCATCTGCGACGCCGACACCGGCTACGGCAACGCCCTGACCACCCAGCGCACGGTGCGGGAGTATGAGGCCGCCGGCGTGGCCGGTATCCACATTGAAGATCAGGCGTTCCCCAAGAAGTGCGGTTTCTTCGAGGGCAAGCAGGTGGTGCCCATGGAGGAGCACGTGCAGAAGATCCGTGCCGCCCTGGACGCACGACGGGACCCTGATTTCGTTATCATTGCGCGCTGTGACGCCTACGCGGTTACCGGCTGGGAAGACACTGTTCGCCGTTGCAAGTCCTACCGCGAGGCTGGCGCCGACCTCGTCTTCGTGGACGGTATCAAGTCAGTGGAGGACCTGGAAATTTATGCCCGCGACCTGCCCGACATGCCCCGGATGTACAACGGAGATCTTGCCAACACCAGGGACGTGGACGCCATGGGCTACAAGCTGATGATCTGCGGCAGCACCATCTGGCTGATCTACAAGCAGTTGAAGGCGTCCTTTGAGGAGCTAAAGGAAACGGGACGGGTGGACCCGGAAAGGTTTGGTACCCGCTGGGATGTGGCAGACCTGCTAGGCCTGGACGAGGTTTACGAGCTGGAACGCAAGTACAGCGCTGAGTAAATCAAGAATAGGCGTCGCAAAATTGAGAATGGTTGAACCGAACATGCGAAGGGAGCTTTGAACAAGTCCCTTCCCCCTCGACGGGGGAAGATTAGGATGGGGGTGCAGGGGCTCATTTCATGGATGACTCCCCTAAGCTCCCCTCTGCAACTTGGCCTTTCGCTGCAATGTCGATGGCTTATCCAGAGGTTCCCTAAGGCTCAACCATTCTTGTGCTAAATACCAAAGTCGTAACACTTAATCCCTAATTGGGCATCAGCGACATAACCTCTCTCGAAAACTGCTCCATGGCCTCCCGTTGACCCTCCACGCTGGTGGCGGGGAAGCCCAGGATGAAGTTCTGGACACCCAGGTCATGGTATTGGCGCAGGTCGGCGGCTATCTGCTCGGGAATACCGTGCATCATCCTGCGGTCTGGGCCGGCCGTGCGGTCAAACACAATGTCGGTGCTGAAGCAGGGGGTCACCGCGTCCTCGGGCCTGCCGGCGCGGACGGTCAGGCGGCGCAGTTGAGCAATCTTGGCCGCCAGTTCCTCGGGTTCCAGGATGGCCGGCGGGCGCAGGCCAATGGGCATCCAGCCATCGCCCAGTTCGGCGGCGCGGCGCAGGGCCGGACCGGTGTGGCCCCAATCCAGATGGGCGGATGGGGTTTCTGTACCGGCTTGGGCAGGAAGCCAGCCCCGGAGGTCTGGACAAATTGGCCATCGAACTCCGCGTCTTCTTTGGTCCACAATTCCTTGAAGAGACGCAGGTACTCGTTGGTTACCGCTCCCCGGTCGGCAAATGTGTCCAGTCCCAGCGCCCGGAATTCCTCCTCCATCCAGCCCACCCCGATGCCCAGCGTGACGCGACCTTCCGACAGGGTGTCCAGGGTGGCGATCATCTTGGCGGTCAGCACCGGGTTGCGGTAGGGAATGATGAGCACATGGGTGCCCAGCCGCAGCCGCTGGGTGCAGCCGGCCAGGAAGTTCAGGGTTGAAAGCGGGTCGTAGTAGGGCTGGTCGGGACTGAATACCGCCACACCGTCGGGCGAATAGGGATAGAAGGAGTCCACCTGCCGCGGCAGGATAATATGGTCGCTGACCCAGGCGGAATCAAATCCCAACTCCTCGGCCCGCTGGGCCAGGGAGCGCAAAGCCTGGGGGCTGGCCATGGGCCCTCGGCTGGGCAGGGAGCATCCAAAGGTTATGGGCATGGAGTACCTCTCATTATGCGGTCTTCGTATCGGACTTTGCAGAAAGGAGGTCTACGCTTAAGGGTTTATCCTTGATGGCGCTTATGCCGTCAATCTTGAAACCCTGCACATTGCCTTCCATATCTACCAAAGCCATTACCCTTTCATCACTGGTAGCAGTGTAATACGCGTGGGCAGTGCCCCAGGACACGTCCAGATAGTCCCCGATTCGTCGTACCAGACGTTCACTTTACGATGCTGATTCATGGGAACTGCTCTCCCGTCTTTATCCAACCAGTCGCGTAGGCGGTGGGAACGTAGGCTTCGTCTTGCAAATACTTCACCACCACGCAGCCCCACTTGTCCCCCAACCAGTGTATCAACAATCCACTTGTAGTATAACCTGACGGCTTCCGGTCGCGTATTTGACCTTCTGATTTCATCGGTATGGAGGAGCGCATCAGATATGACATCCGACATTTCGGCCATATAGCTGCGGGGTGAAAGAATAATGTGCTGCCAAGCCTCCTCGGTCAGAATCACGGAGCGTCCCTGGGAATTTGGAAGAGTCATGCCTGAATTACGGCGCCAGCACCGTAAACGGGTACACCGGCAAGTTGCGCAACACCCAGAAAGCCACGACGGAGACCAGCAGGCCCCACATCAGTGCGGGGTGAACGTACACGGTTGGCAAACGCTTTCCCCACGTTGTAGATAGCAGGGCCCACAGGAATGCGTACCCAATTACAGGCAAGGCCAGCATGGTAAAGGGATTGTAACCGATGGCTGCCAGCATGTTGCCGTGCAGCAGTTGGTGCAGTCCCCGAAGGGTCCCGCAGCCGGGACAATGCAGTCCTGTAAGGGCATAAAAAAGGCAGGGCGGGTAGAAGCCCTGTTCCTCAGGATTGCGGACGTAGACCAACGCCAGGCAGGGTAAGGCGGCCAGCGCCAACACCGCGAACCGCCACCGCCAGATGGGCAACGCGGCCAGTGAATCCACTTTGTCAGGGTTCAGAGTCAGCATTGCTCTATTGGAGTCCGGAGATCGTGCCTGCCAGGACAATAAAGGCGAATATCACCAGGTAAATTAAGGCCCCGAATATGCCAAGCCCGATAGCTACCCAGCTCCAGGTCTTTGCGTTATTGGAAGAATTTACCGCCCCCGCATAATCACCGCCGGCAAGTTGGGAATTCACCTTCGACGCATTCACTATGGCTACAATGCCCGGTATAGAGCCGATTATCCCGCAGCAAACCAGGGAAAGAACGGTGGCCACGATGGACTGCGTCAGGTAGTTGGGAACTGGTCCTGCGGTTCCGTAGCCCATCCCACCCTGGTTCGGCGTTCCCGGGGCATACCTGGGTTCGTTCTGGGGTTCGTTTTTAGGTTCGTTGTCCTGATGCTCTATCACCGACCCGCAGTTGTCACAAAAACGGGCGTCCGGTTGAATCTCCCGGCCGCATGTGTGGCAATACATTTCTTGAGACCCCTTGTTAGTAGGGCTCTTGGCCCTGCTGTTTCCGCACCACGTAGGTACCGGCAATGTGGTCGTGCCACCCTCGCTTTTCCTTGTCCCAGGCCACCCACAGGTAGCCCAAGCCAATGGCAATAGCCGAAAGGAATTTGCCCACGACTTCTCGCAGCAGCACGGCGCCAATTCCGGGAATATTGCCCTGGCTATCCACCGCCTGTATGCCCACGACCATCTTGCCAACGGTCTGGCCTCGCCATGCCGTCATGACAATATAGTATCCCAGGTTGGCTGCTATATTCAGCAGCAGTACAACCCCGTCATTAGGGACGATTGCCCGCAAGATAAAATTAACAACCGTTAGCAGAATCGTGTCAATAACTGCTGCCCCCAGGCGAATCCAGAAGCCCATGTATTCCACGCCCTGGACGCCTTGGTCGAAATAAGGCTCCCTGGCGTGTATTGGGGTGAGCCGGCGGCCTGCGGGTCAATTACGGCCCCGCAGTTGTCGCAGAAACGGGCGTCGGGTTCAACTTCTCGTCCGCATGTGCTGCAGTAGGCAGGGTTGTCATCATAGGGGTCGTCATCGTAAATGTGAGCCATTAACGCTTCTCCGATTGGTTATGATTGGTTGCCCTGAGCGGCCTGGTTCAGGTCCCGCTGCAACAGGAACCACACCACCGGGCCGAATACTATCCACAGAATGAATATGGCGATGCCCGGGTATTTGCCATTGACGAACTGGTCGTACTGATAGCCCTGATGCCAGTAGGCGAAGAACTGGGCAAAGGGGATAATGTACAGCAGGGTCCACAGCCACCTGCGACGGTCTTCACTGGTCGTTGGCCTTGTATAATTCCCCCAGGGTTACGTGGAACCAGTAGATGGAGTAAATGCCAAGGGTGATTATAGCCAGCAGCACCTGAACCCACATGTTGCGGTACTTGATATGGTCGGTGCGTCTCGGCCCACCGGCACTGCCGCTGCTTACGGTACTTACTACCAGTAAAGGGTTGGCCGCGCCGCAATTGGAGCAAAAGCGGGAGGCGCTTTCCATAATTGCAGCGCAGTTATGACAAAATCTGGTGGGTGAATCCGCCGGGTTGTTTACTTCTGCCATTTGCCACTTCCCATGAAGGCGTTAACCAACGTATTGAACGCTTGCCATTCGGTTCAGATCGCGCTGGACCAGGAACCACAATGCCGGAGGGAACACAAGCCACAGGATGAATATCAACATCCTGGGATACTTGTCCCACACAAACTCGCTGTATTCTCCGGCGTAGTGCCAGAAAGTGAAAAAGTCCAGTAACGGGATGCAAAAGAGGATAGTCCACTTCCAACTCTGGGGTTCCTCGCGGTTGTTAGCCCGGTGCAGTTCCCCCAGCGTGACATGAAACCAATATATTCCATAGATCCCCAGGGTGATAATGACCAGGAACGGCTGCAGGAACATGTTGCGATTCTTGATGCGGCTGCCATTGAACATAGTCACCAACTCTGAGGGACATGATGAATGCGGAGAATTCACCTGCGGATAATGCCAGCGCCTGCCTTGAGCCTGGGGACTTGGTACTGTCTTCGCACAGAGCATCCGGGGCGCGACAAAAGGACTCTTCCTACCTTACCAGCAAGGGACTGTCAGAAACAAGAACACCTTGGAAGCCGTGGTATATGCCAGGGCGCTATGGGAGTTCCCACTCTGGCGGGCTTTGGAAGGGTTCCATGTTCGGATAACTCAAAGGTCCCACCAGCCTAATGAGATGCAATAGAGTAGACTCTGAAGCCATTTCGCCCCATTGTGTAGAATAAGGTGTGGCCCAGAATAACGGTACCATCGCGGAGAATTAACGTTTGGAATCACCCCAATCGAGCGCAACCGCCATCGCTCCCCAGGCCGTTGAAGTATCAGCGCTTCAGAAAGGCTATGGCGACCTGCCCGTGCTGTGGGACCTGGACTTCTCCCTGGGCTGGGGTGAATTCCTGGTGCTGTTCGGAGCTAACGGCTCCGGCAAGACCACCCTGCTGCGTGTCCTTGGCGGTCAGGCCCGTCCGGACGAGGGAACAGTCCGCATCGCCGGTTATGACCTGCGCCGGCGACCCGCGGCGGCCCGTCGGCAGGTAGGGGTGGTAGCCCATAGCGGGTTCCTCTACGACGACCTGTCCTGTAGTGAGAACCTCACCTTCTACGGGCGTCTCTACGGCGTGGAGAACCTGAAGGAGCGGGTAGCGGAGGTCCTGGAGCGTGTTGGCCTGACCCATCGCGCCGACCGTCGAGTCCGCAACCTGTCTCACGGTATGCAGAAACGGTTGGCCATCGCCCGCGCCATCCTCCACCAACCTTCCCTGTTGCTGCTGGACGAACCCGAGTCGGGGCTGGACCGTGAGTCAGTAACGGCCCTGGCTGATCTTCTGAGGGAATGGACAGCGTCGGGTCGCTCAGTGGTTATGACCACCCACAATGTAGACCTGGGGCTGGCGTGGGGGGACAAGGTGGCCGTGCTGTCCCACGGCAGGCTGGACTTTGCGGGGGCCGGGGACTATTTGGGGGTGGGGGGAAAACAATAGCTCTACGAGTGGCGAGGGGTGGAAGCTGATGTTCCGAGGCTAATCCCCTTCTTCATCTCGAAGCTCCTTGAGAATAGGAATAGCTTCGATAATATTATCAGCATATTTGCTAAAGCGGTTCTTGGCAAAGTTTTCTTCCGTGGCCAGGCGCATCTTCTCAGGTTTTACAGTTGTAACGGCAACTGGGTAACCAAAGGAGTCTGGCACCAGGAAATCGACCGTGTAAAATTTGCCTTTCCCCTGGATGTCTACTATGTCTATGATGGTGCCAACGTCTCCGGGTAGCAATCCCTCCCCAAATTTCCGTAAAGGGCTTAGTTCAGGAATATGTTCGGCTTCGTCCAAGGGAATTGGAGCCGTCAATGCGATGTGGTAGTACTCGTTGAACATTGCCGTTCCTAGACAGGCGGATAGGCTGAGATAAACCTTGGATAGTCAGCGCCGTAGTCGATTTGCCATACTGTTCTGACGGTAGGACTGCGGCCGTCGGATGTTGAAATCGTACCAATGCTAACATGCTGAATTCCATAGGCTGTGTCCGCAACTTCCACGACCTCATTCTGGAGGCAAACAGAACGCAACGCTTCGGCAAATATTTCCCACTGTTCCGCACGGAAGCCGAAGCGATAGAAGAACCGTGCTTTGCTCGCTCCATCAGGACTGGTAAAGGAGAGCAAATACTCCGTAATCTTCCGTTCTTCAACCACCGCCCTTTCCGCATCTGGTAATCTCAATGGCCAGACTTTGGTTCCACGAGTCGCCGCACATTATCACAAACGGCATCCGCGGGCCATTTGATACAATTGTCCTCTTGGTGAATCGTCCCCCGACAAGGTACGTACATGCGTTTTCTGCGTCCTATGGCGGCGCTGGTCTGGAAAGACCTGCTGCTGGAACTGCGCTCCCGTGATATTGTCGTCTCCGCGCTGGTGTTCGGGTTCCTGGTGGTGGTCGTATTCAATTTCGCCTTGAAGGTGACGCCGGAGCGAGTGGCGGAACTGGCCCCCGGAATCCTGTGGGTTGCGTTTGCCTTCGCCGGAACCCTGGCTATGAGCCGGGCCTTCGTGAGGGAACGGGAACAGGGCGGGCTGGAAGGGCTGCTGCTGGCTCCGGTAAGTCGAGACGCCATATTTTTGGGCAAAATGCTGGTCAGCTTCCTGTTTATGCTGGTGATCGAGGTGGCCCTGCTGCCCGTCTTCGCGGTGCTGCTCAACTTCGCGTCCTTTACCTTCACTTTGGCGGCGGCCATCCTGCTGGCAACCCTGGGGTTTGCCACCGTGGGAACCCTCTTCTCCGCCATTGCGGTGCAGACCCGTTCCCGGGAAGTGATGCTGCCCGTCTTGTTCTTCCCCGTCATCCTTCCGGTCATCATCGGCGCAGTGGAGGTTTCAGGCGCGTCCATTGGCGCGGGACCTCAGACGGGGGTCATCAGCCGGTGGCTGCCCCTGCTGGCGGTATTTGATGCCGTTTTTCTGGTAGTATGTCCCTGGATTTTTTCGATAATCGTTGAGGAGTAACCTGCTTTGGCCTCTGTACCAAACGCATCCGGGCAAGGTGCATCCCGAGGTGGAACGGGCAAGGTCGGCTTTCCGGGTCTGTCCGGTGTCCTGCTGATAGTTACCTCCGTCCTGATGCTGCTGAACCTCTACCTGATATTTATGGTGGCGCCCACCGACGCAGTGCTGGGCCACGTCCAGCGGGTTTTCTACTTCCACGTACCCATAGCTGTGGTGTCCTTCCTGGCCTTCTTTGTGGTGTTTGTCGCCAGTATCGGCTACCTGATAACCCGCAAGAGCAAATGGGATAGCGTAGCCCACGCCGCCGCCGAGGTAGGGGTTGTTTTTGTCAGCCTGGCATTGCTGACCGGCATAATCTGGGCCCGACCGGTGTGGGGCGTCTGGTGGACCTGGGAGCCGCGCCTGACCACCACCCTTATCCTGTGGCTGATCTACGTTGCCTACCTGATGCTGCGGTCCTACGCGCCCAACAAGTCCCAGGGCGCTCTCTATGCGGCCGGACTGGGTATTATTGGCTTCGTGGACGTGCCCATCGTTTACTACTCGGTACAGTGGTGGCGTTCCATCCACCCTTCGGCGGTGGTAGGGCCCCTGGCAGATACGGGAGCGCTGGAGCCAATCATGCAGGGAGTCCTGTTTTACTCGCTGGCCGTATTCCTGCTGTTGTTCCTGTACCTGGTGCTTGAGCGGACGTATCTGCGCAATGTGGAAGACCGCCTTTCAGCCTTGCGCTTCGCCAGCAGAATGCGCTAGTGATAACGCTATTGACTATAGGCACACGAGAATACTGCTGACTGCCAGAGTTGCCCTGGTAAGGTCAGACGGACCTGGCAAGGTATTGAATCCCCTGCCCTACCTGCTAAATATGTCAAAGTATGAGGAAGTGAACCAAGAATGCTCTTCATCCTGCTACAGAGCCAACCCCCGGCCAACCTGACCTTCCTTTTTGTTGCCTTCGCCGTGACCTGGCTGGTGTTCTTCGTTTACGCCTTCTTCATCTCCCGAAGACGCCAGGAGCTGGAACGGGAAGTAAGAGACATGCAGCAGGAAGCGGGAACGGGCGAGGCGAAGACCGATTCAGGGAACTGAACGAAAACCAGCTCAATTGTTGCTCGTCTAAATACCCTTCGACAGCCTCAGGATGAGCGGCGGTGGGGTGGAGCGAGGCTCCCGCCTGCCAGCCCAGGAACAACAGAATAAGGACACGAAGGGCCCCCGGCACGTCTGCCGGGGGCCCTTTTAGTGTTGCCTCTATGGTCGTGTTAGCCGCGCTTGCCTGCAGACTATATCGTTGCCAGGCTCGTCAAGAATGGTTAGCGCCGGGGCATTACGAAGGGCATGGCTATGGCCACGACCACTGCCACAATGGCGATGATGATGGCGATGATGCCGCTAGTGTCTCTGGGAGCGGTTCCGTCAGCGCCTGCAGGCCCTTGGGGACCCTGAGGGCCCTGGGGCCCAGGCGGCCCTTGCGCGCCGTCAACACCGCTGGGACCGGTCTCGCCGATGTCTCCCTGTGGGCCGACGGGGCCGCGAGGGCCGGCTTCACCGGCAGGGCCAGTATCTCCTGCGGGGCCCTGGGGACCGGCGGGACCTGGTGCGCCGTCGGGGCCCGGCGGGCCTTCAGGCCCCGGAGGACCCGGTGGGCCCGGCGGGCCTTGAGGACCTGGCGGACCTGGCGGACCCGGAGCCATAGCGTCAATATCGTTAGAGGGAGTGCTTGCCGCCGCCGCCAGTTCAAAGTTACGCTGGACAAAGCCAGATCTCCAGCCGTCCAGGGTCTGGAAGGCCTTGACGCCCTCAATCATGAAAGTAACTAACTGGCCCGAAGGGTTTTCCACGTCAATCCTGAAGCTGCCACCCGCTCTGACTGTAGTCGAGCCAACTTCCCTGTCGCCTGCACGAGCGGTTATCTCGGAACCCACCGGCGGCGGAGCACCATTAAGGGTAGCAGTGCCCATCAAAACATGGGGAGGCTCGCCCTGCGCCAATGTCGTCATTGGCAGGGCAGCCAGTATCGCTACTATAGCCAGCAGGACTAGAATTCTACCGAATATTGCCATTGGTTTCTCCCATAAATTCAAAGCCTTTGCCGGGCGATCATGCGTAGACCAGCGCTTGTCCCTGCGGACATCCGTCCGCCCCTACACAGGTTCCCGTCGAGGAATAATACGACGGGCCCGAGATGGGCGGATTTTTCACTGCTGAAATTGACCTGAGGCATGCAGCCTCCAGCCTTAGGAAGCTTGCGGAGCAGGGCCGGAGTCGTAGGTGTTGTAGTCCACCGGCGATTCCCCTTCCAGGGATTGGTACTTGGAGGGGCATTTCACCAATATGTTTTCGGTCTCAAAAACGCGGTCCGGTGTGTAGCTGCCCTCCAGGATGATCTCCGAATGGGGATTAAAGAAGAGATCGGGCATCACACCGACATAGGAAGCCTGCAACATGGCGTCCCCTCCTTCCCCTTCCTTGTCCACCAAGTGGAAACGGGCCAGCGTTCCACCTTCTTGCCGCTGGAAGGATTCAGGGACCAGCTTTCCGGAAACCCGCAAGACCTGCCCATCCTGGAATTCTTCTCCGCCCATGAACTCGCTGACCGTCAGGAAGTAAAGGGCGTTTCCCGGAAAAGCGGCGTAGATCATGTATGCCACGGCCAGGGCCACCACAACGCCCAGGATAATCAGGCGGTTGCGGGTTCGGCGGCCGGTGTTCTCTTCCGCCAATTCATCTTCAGGCGTATATCCAGCCGGTATGGGACGGTCTTCAGCCACGGGCTACCTCGGTCTTCTGTCTGATGTTTCTTGCCGGTTCGCGCGACGCAACAGATATAATACCATTCGCCCTTAACCAGTGTCATTATCCGTCTTGGCCCTGACTCCTTCAGTCTTGTCCCACTCCGGTAGTCGGAAACAGGCGCTTCCCTCGCCCAATGGAAGACGATCATGGCGAGAGCGGCTTTAACTGAAGTTAGGTTGACATCGTATCTGCCGGGGCTATAATCAAGCCAACCCTAAGCTGACCGGCCTGACCGGTGAAGGCGGTAAGAATGACTCAACACGAGGAAGGCCTGCTCAGTCCCGAACTGGTAATGGCCGAAATGAAAAAGAACGGGGTCACCCATGTAGTGTGGCTGCCGGACAGCGAAACCAACTTCTTGTACCTGTTGATGGAGGCAGACCCTGACTTGGACCTGATTCCAGTCAGCCGGGAAGGGCAGGCCTTTTCCACCGCCGCCGGCCTGACCGTGGGCGGCAAGAAACCGGTAATCCTCATCCAGAACACGGGAATGATGGAGTCTGGTGACTCCCTGCGTGGTTGGGGCCTGAGCCTTAACATTCCGGTGGTAATGATGGTGGGCTACCGGGGCTGGACCCGTCATGGCGTGAACACCGACACGGCCGCTACCTACACCGAGCGGTTCCTGAACGCCTTTGGCATCAACTACTACCTGGTGGAGAACGGTGACGACGCCCCGCGTATCTCCGTAGCCTTCGAGGAGGCGTCACGCACCCGCCGCCCGGTGGCAGTGCTGGTGGGCGACGAGTACCACGGCTTTAATAGATAGGGTACATCCGTCGTTTCTGCATTCTCAGGAACCTCGTCACCACGGATTACAGGCTCCATCCAGGGGCATTAATAACGAACAAATTGCTACCTCGCCCTCGCGGTGAGGGGCATAACAATAATCAGCGAGGCTATATAACATGATGCACATGGCGGACATGTTCAAGGTTTTCGCCCCCTACCGGGGCAACTCGGTTGTCATCCCCGGAAGGGGCGGACGGCACTGGACCCAGATCAGCGACCAGCCCAATCGGGACCTGCCCGTAGGCGATCCGGCCATGGGTGGCCATGCCTCCTTTGGGTTAGGTGTGGCCCTGTCCATGCCTGAAGAGAGGGTGATTCTCTTTGATTCCGAGGGCGACATACTCATGAACATGGGCGCCCTGCCCACCATTGCCGAAAAAGCCCCGAAGAACTTCTACCACTTTATGTTGGACAACGAGTGCTACGCCACCACCGGCGGCCAGCCCGTACCCAACGCCAAGAACATTGCTTACGAAGTCATCGCCAAGGGTTCCGGCTATCCGGCTACCTATGCCTTCGATAACCTGGAAGACTTCACCAACAATATCGAGGAAATCCTGGGGCAGCCCGGGCCAGTCTTCGTGGCCCTGAAGGTGGAGCCGGAAATCGAGAACGAGCCCATCGGCAATCGCGTCCGCTGGCAGACCCGCTCCCGAACCCAGGTAATTGACGACCTGAAGGTAGAATTGGGGATTAGCGGGCCCTAGTGACCGTCGCACAGGACGGTTCGGCAAGCTGACCGAACTCCTTGATCAGGGTTCCTCTGGGATTGGACTTACCCTGGCTGCAAACTTGGCCTGAATGTGAAAACGCCCCGCCGAACCCGGCGGGGCGTTCCTTATTAACGTAACTGCGCTGCAGGCTTGCAGAACCGCCCTAGAAGGCGAAGCTGTCCATCAACTCGTCAACGGAGCGCTGGGGCGCGCGACCCCGGACTTCCTGAAGGCGCTGTTCCAGCGAGGGGCGTTCCTCGTCCTTGTAAATCAACCCCATGGGAACTCCGCGCCGGTGGATCAGGTCGAAGGCTGCTCCCCGGTCGGAAACATCGTGGTCTTCGGGGACTTCAAAGAGCAGGGGCTCAATACCCTTGCGGGCGTTGCCCTTCATCAACTCGAAGGTGTCGTTATAGGTCGTGCAGGGGGACTGGACGTGAATCATGGCAAAGCCTTCGTGGTCCATTCCCTGGTTAATCAGCTTGGCCAATTCCCTGGGCTGTCCGGAAAAGCCTGCGGCAATGAAGGAAGCTCCTAGAGTCAAATACAGTTCGAGGGGGTCCGCTTCCGCCTCAATCTTGCCGTAAGGGGTGGAACTAGTAACCGTGCCCAAGTGGGTTGTGGGTGAACTCTGGCCCTTGGTCAGGCCGTAAACCCCATTGTCCATCACCACGGCACAGATGTTGAGGTTGCGGGCCGCCTGTGGCCCAATATGCTCGCCGCCGATGCTGAGGAAGTCGCCGTCGCCGGCAACCACTACTACGTTCAGCTCCGGGCGGGCCATCTTGACGCCCATGGCCACTGGCAGGGTCCGACCATGAATCCCGTGGAACCCGTAAGGCTGCTGGCCTTCCAGCAGATGCACCAGGTTACCGGAGCAACCGATACCGGCCACCACCACGTTGTTTTCAATGGGCTTACCGGTCTCTTCCAGCCGGTTGATCATGGCCAATTCCAACGACCGCCGTACGCCGAAGTCGCCGCAGCCCGGGCACCATTTGAAATCGTATTCGGGATTCTTCTTGCTCATGCTCGAACCATCTCCTTGCGATGGGAATTGTTCATCTCAGCGATGCGCTCAACCAGGTCCCGCACCTTGAAGGGCAGGCCGGTGTACTGGGTAATGGACTCGGCCTTGACACCCTGGGAGCGGAGAATGCCGGAGAACTGTCCCTGGTAGTTAAGCTCAGGAACGATAACCAGTTCCTTCTGCCGCAGTTCTTCCAGGAGGGCTGGCGGCAGAGGATTCAGCAGCATGGTGTAATACCAGCCGATGGGAACGCCCTGCTCGCGCAACTGGTTGTAGGCTTCCTCGGTCGGCCCCTTGGAGCCGCCCCAAGGCATCACAACCACCGGCTCGTCGGCGTTGTCCCGTTCGTATTCATTCTCTTCTAGTAGCTTGAGCTTGCCAAACCGCCGCTCAGTCATCTGGATGTGACGGCTGGCCAGGTGGGTGGTGTCTCCCATCTCGTCGTGCTCGCTGCCGTTGGCTACATAAGCGCCGGGGCCGCCGGGCAGGGGCATGGGTGAAAGCTCGTTGCCCTGGTAGCGATGATAGCCGTTGGTGCCTTCGTAAACTACCCGGCGTTCCGGCCTGACCTTGGAAAGGTCGGGCCGCTCAATGTTCTGCACCCGCTCGGCCAGGGCCATTTCGGTCATCAGAATCACCGGGCCCTGGTAGCGCTCGGCCCAGTTCAGGGCCTTGACTGCGCCGTGGAAGCATTCCTCCACCGTACCGACGGCAATAACCGGCAACTTAACGTCGCCGTGGGCCGGGTACATGCAGGCCAGCAGGTCCGATTGCTCCGTCTTGGTAGGCAGGCCGGTGGCAGGACCACCGCGCTGTACGTCAACCACCACCAGGGGAATCTCAGCCATCCAGGCCAGGCCCAGACCCTCGCTCATCAGCGAGAAGCCGGGACCGGCGGTGGCGGTCATGGCCTTCTTACCGGCATAACCGCCACCCAATAGGGCGGTTATGGATTCAATCTCCGAGCTTACCTGGTAGGCAAATTTGCCCTCGCCGACCAGGTTGCGCTCCATAAATACCAGAATGGTTGTGGCGGGGGAGATGGGATAGCCGACGTAGAAGTCAAGACCAGCGGCCAGCGCGCCCAGGGATATGGCCTCGTTGCCCTTGAGCATAACCTGTGGGTATTCGGGCATGCTCGGGGGAGCCAGTTCTCCCAGCACGAAACCGCTTTGAGCGGTCTCTTCCCGGCCCAGTTTCAGGGCTGCAATGTTGGACAGGATAATCTCGTCGTCGTTGGCCCGGCCTCGCCGGAAACGGCTTTCAACAAACTCGTCCAGATATTTGCTGGGGCATGTTTACCAGGTGAGCCAGGGCTCCCATGATAACCATGTTGGCCGCCCGGTTGTTACCGGTGGATCGGGCCAGTTCGTCAATCTTCAGACCGTAGCTGCGTTCGTCTTCGTCGCCCAGCTCAAAATCGTCGAGGTTGTAGATGACCAGACCGCCTTCCCGCACCTCTTCACGGTGGGTGTCGTAGGCTTCACGGTTGAAGGCCACCAGAACATCCACATCGTCACCGGCGCTCAGGATTCCATCCACCGAAATCCGGGCCTGGGTCCAGGTGGGACCTCCCAGAATCTGGGAAGGGAAGGTAGCGTAAGTGAGGGCGTGATAGCCTACCTGAGTGGAAGCCTGGGCCAGACCTTCCGCCGACGTTACTACCCCCTGTCCGCCTTCGCCGGCGAAGCGGACAACAAAGTCGCGCATTTGCATCGCCTATCTCCTCCTGATCCGAATGCTCAGGAATTTAACTTTCTCTATTCTGCCTGGTTGCCTGCGTATTAATGTATTGTAACGCAAGGCAGGCACTATTGACCCTATCCTCCGAGTCGGAAGACAGCTTTCTCATCGTCCGGGAACATTTGCCGGTTCGGTAAAAGCAAAAGGGAAGACTGTGAAACAAAATTAAAGCCCCGTTGAATGGGGCGCGAGGATTCTCCAGTGGCTGTCATTATCTATAGCGGGACTTTCCCCAAGTCTGCAAAGTAGTATAAAAGCCCAACTCGATGCCTCGGGCCGGCAGTAGGCGCCGGGACAATCGTTTCAAAGGTCGCACTGGAGAGCTACCAGCCAAACCGGAAACGTACAAAGGCTAATCGGAGGCAGTTTACCATTGGCGCATATTTGTTGTCAACGAATAAGAGGTTGTTGATATCGGGTTATCGCACTCCTAATGAGTGGTTTTCGTCATAGCAACATATCTGATTGTTGACGAGAAGACGCAAGAACATCTTCGAATAATCTATATCAGGAGATTTGTTGGCAGCTATCTTTGTCATGTACTGGAGTTGTTTGAAGGTCTCGCAGCGGATGGTTGGGTCTGATTGTGGTTGACGCAAGGTTACGCTTGACCGCCCGTTGGGTTAATGCAAAAATTGGGACGTATCTAACCTGGTTTGCAACGATTATAAATGGAGGAAACAGCTATGAAGTGGTGCAGGTTTCAGACCGCAGACGGACCAGCCTACGGCATTATCGAGGGCGATAACGTCATCCAGGTTTCCGGAGACCCCATTCGTGGTGAGTACGAAAAGACGGACAAAGTTCAGCCCCTTAGTGGCGTAAAGCTGCTGGTGCCAGTAATTCCCCCGACTTTTTACGCCGCGGGCATTAACTTCCGCGAGCATGTGGAGGAAATGGCGGCCAAGCGGGGCGAAGAACCCAATTTCCCACCGGCAGCGGACGTGGGCTACCGGGCCAACAACGCCCTTGTCGCCGAAGGCGAGGCCATCGTGGTGCCCAGCGACGCCAACGAATTGCTTCAATACGAGGGTGAGCTGGTAGTAATCATTGGCAAGCAGTGCAAGAACGTGTCCGAGGAAGAGTCCCTGGACTACGTTTTTGGCTATACTATCGGCAACGACGTCAGCGAGCGGGTGTGGCAGCGGGGCGACCGCACCATGTGGCGGGGCAAGAACACCGACACCTTCAAGCCCATGGGCCCGTGGATCGTCACCGACGGCGTGGACCCCGAGGACTGCGAAGTCCGCATCGTCCTGAATGGCAAGTTCATCAGCAAGTACAACATGTCCGGCGCCATCTTTAGCGTGCGCCAGTACATTAGCCGCATGAGCAAGTACCTGACCCTCTACCCCGGTGATGTCGTATGGATGGGCACCGACGGCGCCCCCGAAAACATGAAGGACGGCGACGTCATCAACATCGAGATTGACGGCATCGGCGCCCTGAGCAACCCGGTGGTGTGGGAGAAGTAGCGCCTACCCACTGTTTGTGGCAGACATGTTGAGGCGCACCTTGCTGGCGCCTCATCTGGCATTCACTCCTCAACTGGGATTCAATAATGTTGGGGCAGCCCTTGTGGCTGCCCTCGTTTTAGATTGGTAATATCTTTCGATTGCGAGATCAGTGGAAGGTGGGGCGGAACGTCAGGACACTGGTGCGGGGACAACTGAGGATTCCTTCAACATTAAAGACTTTTCCCTCAGAACTCCCCGGGGAAGGCCGAAATGCTATTCCTGTTGGTCAGGAGGTGGGGGTTGCGTCTTTTTCACTTCGTCGGGCAGGCCTTCGTACCAGGCCTTCCACCGCTTTTTGACCTCTTCTTTCTCACGTCGGGCTTGTTCCAAAAGTCTTTGTTCTCGTCTTCTAGCGAGCACCATCATCACCTCGAAAGTTCCTATGGTTAACAGAGTTAGCCCTGCGGATGCTCCCACTCCGTAGCCTATGGCCACAGTTGTTGCCAGCCGTGAATCGGAAGTGTTAAATGCTATTTCGTACGCTGCCAGAAGGATTGTAAACATCCATGCCAGGGAAACGGATGCTACCACATAGATTGTTTCGTGGTCTTTGAACGCTTGCGGCGTTAGACTAATCGCTAAAGTATTATACCCTGAATCCTTACCAACTCAGGTTAAGGAATACAGGAATGCCTACTTCACCGTGGGCTTAAGTACATTCACAATACCTCGACATGCCAAGCTGGCTTATTTGATCATCCCACTTCAGAACGTCCGACGAATTAGACACCACATTAAAGGGTATATAAATGACCTCCTCATATATTTCCGCCCACGACCCCTACCCGCGTCACCGCGTTAATTGCGCGGGTGTTGAACTGGCCTTCGTGGATACTGGCGATGGTTCAGAGGCAGACCCGGTGGTGTTCCTGCACGGCAACCCCACTTCCTCGTACCTGTGGCGGAACGTCATACCCCACGTCGAACCACTGGCCCGTTGCCTGGCCCCCGACCTGGTGGGCATGGGCGAGTCGGGCAGGACTGTCGATGGGTCGTACCGGTTCGTTGACCACCGCCGCCACCTGGACGCCTGGTTTGATACCGTCTTGCCCGAGGGTCAAGTTACGCTGGTTTTACACGACTGGGGTTCGGCCCTGGGCTTTGACTGGGCCCATCGCCACCCTGATCGCATTAAGGGACTGGCCTACATGGAAGCCATCGTCCGCTCTCTGACCATGGATGAATGGCCAGAACCGGCACGCCGTGTATTCCAGGGGTTCCGCTCGCCGGCCGGCGAGGAGATGGTATTGACCAACAATGTCTTCATTGAGCGGGTCCTGCCGGGCAGCACCCTCAACGGCATCAGCGACGCGGCAATGGAGATTTACCGGCGTCCCTACCTGGAACCCGGGGAATCACGCCGTCCCATGCTGTCCTGGCCACGGGATATTCCTATTGACGGTGAACCTGCGGACGTTGTGGCCATCGTTGATGAGTATGCTGCCTGGCTGTCCAAGTCCGACATACCGAAACTTTTCATCAACGCCGAGCCGGGCGCCATCCTGGCTGGACCGCAAAGGGAGTATTGCCGGGCCTGGCCCAACCAGCAGGAGGTAACCGTCCCTGGCATCCATTTCATCCAGGAAGAGTCTCCGGCGGAGTTAGGCCGGGCTATCGCTGAGTGGTATTCGGGTCTCTGATGCAATCCCTGCCTGCGTTCTCCACAAAAGCTGGGGAGACACAGCGCACTATGGAAGAGTGAAGGTGGAATGACTGAGATCGAGAATCCGGATGTGGGACAGGTATTCGAGGGCTACCCTGACTCCATGCGCCGGAAGATGCTGCGCCTGAGGCAGACAATCCTGGACACGGCATCGGAAACGGAGGGGGGCAACGCTGTGAATGAGACCCTGAAGTGGGGAGAGCCCAGCTACCTCACCAAGGATGGCAGCACCATCAGGATAGACTGGAAGGGAAAAACGCCGGGTCAGTACGCGATGTACTTTAACTGCAACTCTTCCCTGGTTGACACTTTCAAAGCGGTTTACGGCGACGTGTTCACCTTTGAGGGCAAGCGGGCCATCGTTTTTGACGAAAACGACGAACTGCCAATCGAAGAGTTGAAGCAATGCGTTTCGCTGGCTTTACGAACCATCGCGTTAAGCACCTGCCGTTGCTGGGCGCGTGACCACAGGGACTAATTGGCGATTGCCCCGACTCCTTGGCCCATTCCCCTACTCCTTAATCACCTGCCCGTAGGGCGGCTTGCTGGTCAGGCCCGTGCCGTCGGTGAAAATCTGCTTCACCTCCAGGAAGTCCTCCAGCCCGTGGTATCCCAGTTCACGGCCCATGCCGCTCTGCTTGTAGCCGCCCCAGATTCCCTCTACCGGCTGGGCGTAGTTGTCCCAGATCCACACGGTTCCGGCCCGGATGCCCCGGGCCACCCGCATAGCCCTGGGATAGTCCGCGCTCCAGACCCCGGCCACCAGGCCAAAGTCCACAGCGTTGGCCAGTGCCACCGCTTCCGCCTCATCGCTAAAGGTGGTTACTGCCACCACCGGCCCAAAAATCTCCTCCTGGCCCAGGCGGGAGGCGTTGTCCACCCCGTCGAAAATAGTGGGTTCCACGTAATAGCCGTGGTCATAGCCCTCGCCCTGTAGCTTGCTGCCACCGGTTACCAGGTCAAATCCGGCGTCCAGCCCGAACTGGATGTACTCCTGCACCACTCGTTCCTGCGAGGCGGAAATCAGGGGCCCCTGGTCAGTGCTGTTGGCGGCGGGATTGCCCACCTCGATGTTGCGGGTCAACTGGGTTACCCGCTCCAGCACCTGGTCGTGGATGCCTTCCTGGAGCAGCAGGCGGGTGGTTGCGCCGCAGGCCTGGCCGGCGTTGCGGAACATCCCGAATACCGCGGCTCGCGAGGCACCCTCCACGTCGGCATCGTCAAAAATCAGGTAGGGAGCCTTGCCGCCCAGTTCCAGGCTGATGCGTTTGACTTCGATGGCGGCCTGGGCGGCGATCATCTTGCCGGTGCCCGTTTCGCCCGTAAAGGAGAGCTTGTCGATGTCCCGGCTGGTTACCAGCTCCGAGCCAACCACGGTGCCCGGGCCCGGCACCAGGTTCAGTACACCGGCGGGAATGTCGGTCTGGTGCATTAGCTTCACCAGTTCGTAGGCGGCGGCAGGGGTGTAGCTGGCCGGCTTCAGCACAATGGTGCAGCCGGCGGCCAGGGCCGGGGCCACCTTGCGGGGCCGTCTGGGTCAGGGGGAAGTTCCAGGGGGTAATCAGCCCGACCACGCCCACCGGTTCCTTGATCAGGTTGATAAGGGAGCCATTGGGCAGGGTAAAGGACTCTCCGTAAATCTTGCCGGCCAGGCCCGCGTAAAATTCGAAGATGTCGGCGGCGGCGGCGATGTGGGGGACGGCCTGGCGCATGGGCATCCCCACTTCCAGGCTAACCACCTGGGCCAGGCGATCGGCATTTTCCCGCATCAACTGGGCGGTGCGGAACAGGACCTGCTCCCGCAGCTTGTAATTGTTCAGCCAGTTGCCAGCATTGCCGTCGAAGGCGCGGCGGGCCGCATCAATACCGGCACGGGCATCCTCCAGGGTTCCCTGGGCGGCTACAGTGGCCACCTGTTGGGCGTTGGCCGGATTCTCCCGCTGGAACTCTCCGCCGCCGGTGGCCGGTCCCTCCTCTCCATTGATTAGCAGGGGACAGGAAAGGGGCAACTCAATGGAGTAGTGGCCATCGGTGCGTGCAGAAGTCATCGGCAACCTCGAATCCGGTGTTTGGGGGTGTTTGGGATAACTGGTTTACCTACCTGGTTATGGTCAACTTTTGGTTGGGGCCGTCCAGCGTAATGTGGTACTGGTTGAGGACGTCGCGGCCCAGGATGGCGTAGGGCATATCGAAACTGCTTGCGTTTATCTCATGCGGCGGGTAATTCTCGATGGATATGTATGCTCTGAAGACTCGCTCGTATGACCCTTGCCCAATGACACCTCTGGTAAATTCTGGATCAAGCTCCTCTAGCTTCAAATATCCAGGTACGTAACCTGGCACCGCCGAGTAATCCGCTCCTGTATCCAATAAGGCAGGTACATTGATAGTCTCAGAAGTTGCGGTAGCGGAAACCTGTATCGTCAGGAAAGGTGCAGGCGGAAATATCCGGGTACTATAGCTATGCACGATGCTCGTCAGGTCCCCTTACGCACTCTCGCCTGGCATTTTCGGTACTCTATGGAATCCGGGATGCCGGTTAATGCGCGGCTTGGGGGGTACTTCAGAGATGACGACTGGCCGGTCCCCATACTTGCTGTGCACCCTATCCATTAACGGAACATACTCAATGTCAGAATCAACGACTGTCTGATTAATGATCGCTACATACCTGCCACGATAGTCGGGCAAAAGCTCATCAACATTCGCGCGGAAGAAGTCCATGTCTCTCCGAAACTCGGCCGTTTCAAGGCTCTCGAGCTCACCGGTTCTAAACTTCGGCCTGGGGGATGAGCCTGCCTTCAAACACTCCCGGTCCACCAGTTCCTCGGCTATCTGGATGGAGTTGAGGGCAGCGCCCTTCCGTAAATTGTCTGACACTATCCACAGAGCAATGCCGCTAAGATTGGAAGCGTCCTTCCTGATTCGTCCAACAAAAACGTCGTCCTCACCAGCCACGTCCCAGGGTATCGGGTAGTCTCCGCCTTCCGTATTGTCCAGCACCGTCACGCCAGGCATGTCCATCAGAAGGGCGCGTATTTCGCCAATATCCATTGCCCGCTCAAGCTCAAGGTGGACTCCCGCGCTATGGGATACCATCACCGGCACCCGCACACAGGTGGCCGACACGCGGATGTCCGGTGCGTGCATTATCTTGCGGCTCTCGTCGATCATCTTCTGCTCTTCCCGGGTGTAACCGTTGTCGAGGAAGCTGTCGATCTGAGGTATGACGTTAAAACCAATCTGCTTGGGCTGGTGCCGCGGCGTCACCGACTGACCCTTCAGGAGGGCTTCCGACTGCTCCCGCAACTCCTGTACTGCTGCTCCTCCGGCGCCGGACACCGACTGGTAGGTGTCGGCGATGATACGCTTGATCGGGTTAACCCGGTGGATGGGGTGGGCCACCATCACCAGGGGCGTGGTGGAACAGTTGGGAATGGCGATTATCCCCGGGTGCCAGGTAACGTCGGCCCCGTTAACTTCCGGAACCACCAGGGGCACGTCATCCTGCATCCGGAAGGCTGAGCTATCATCAATGACCACCGCGCCGGCGGCCACGGCAATGGGCGCCCAGTGCCGGCTGGCCTCGGTGCTGGCCGATATGAAGGCAATGTCCACGCCCTTGAAGGAGTCCTCGGTGGTCTCCTCCACAGTGAACTCCTTGCCATTGACCGTCAGTCTGGTTCCAGCGGAACGGCTGGATGCCAGCAGCTTCAGGCTATGCAACTGCGGATGTCGCTGCTCGACTATTTTCAGGAACTCGGCGCCCACGGCTCCGGTGGCGCCCACAACGGCAATGGTCAGGTGGCTCAGGCGGGAATGTCATGTTATTGCTCGACCGTAATGGTGCAGTAAGTTTTCTTATAGAATTGGTGGGTGAATAGCTCGTATCTAACGGGCATTAGCAGGTGCATCATCGTCGGCAACTATCTAAGGAGTGCCATAGGCGCTAGATGCTGAAACAGGTCCCTGACGGCGTCTTTCCATGTGTTTTGAACCGCAAAGTGGTTGCCAATCAGTGTTGCATACAATTCAGGACATGTCCGCGGCTGGCTGCTCCTATGTGAAACCGTTGCATCTACGACTGCTTGAAACCCTTCAGGCACTCTTCGTACCCGGAAATCTGGTAGGTCCTGGCCAGCCCTCAGCAGAAACCCAACCCAATTCTCGGTGAGCTTTCTCAGGGTTCCGGTCTCGATTGACTCGATGTACTTCTTATCAGGAGTAATAGTTACAATGGAAACTCGTTCGCAATCTACAGAGAACGAATAAAGCGGTTTGTACACTTCTCTTCGCGCTTCGTCTCTCTCAACACCTAGTTCACTTTCTATGACGGAAAGTTGGGCACCAGGAGAGGAATAAAAGAGACGCGTGAAAGTAGGTCTCCTATAACTCGAAAACCCTCCGCGAAGCATTTGACAGGAATACAATCTCACGTTCGCACACTCGTCGAATAACACCATGCATAAGGACGCCATTCCATGTTCTTGCTTGGCGTCAAGAAAGCCACTTAGTTTGGTTCACCACACTTTGCAGAGGCGTTCCTTGCGTGAAGTCAGGCATCAATGCTGGATTCTTCTTCCATTTGCCAACGTCCAACTCAAGTGCCATTGACATACCGACCGTGCTCATATCATGGACGTAGTTTTCGCCCTTAGAGTTAGAGTACGTTATCTCGACGATCAGTTTTCGGCCGTTTTCATCTGTAAGCAAGATATCTGGCTGTCTGCCCGAATATCCGGCGAAAGGCACTGGCTTCTCAAATTCGACTTTTATGATAGAAAACGTCTTTGGAGGATCGAACATGGACATGACGACACCGGCATTTTGACTCGGCTTGCCCACGGCATCCGGTCAAAGCACATCACACGCATGAGCGTCAGGTGGCTTAGGTCAGTGTATGAAGTCTGCTATAGCAGCCATACATATCCCTTGCAGTTACAATGTGCGTGCGACGAAGCTGACGAGCTGCATACAGTGTGCTGGGACACAGTGCGAGGCCTCTCACAGGGCGCGTAAGGACTCCCGCTGGGAAAGCACCCCGGAACCCAGCTACAACGTATCTATTTCCAAGCCTACACAAGCCCGGTTCTAACAACTTCACGGATGCACCGGATTACCCCGGGCATGTAGCAGTCCCGCGTAAGGGTATCGTGACGGATGGAAACGGTCTGTCCGGCGGCCCCGAAAATCACCTCGTGGTGGGCGCTGCGCCCTGGCATCCGGATGCTGTGGATCGACACGCCGTTGTACTCGCCGCCCCGGGTTCCTTCCAGCGTCTCCTTCTCCGGGTAGTTGCGGGTGAACTGTTTTTCGTTCCCGATGGCCTGGGCGAGAGCAAAGGCAAAGCCCGAGGGAGAGTCTATCTTGGCCTCGTGGTGGGCCTCAATGATGTCCACATAGTCGAAGAAGGGCGCTGCCTGCTCCACCAGCTTCTTCAGCACCACCGCGCCCAGGGCAAAGTTGGGGGCGACGACGATGCCAATGTTGCTGTCGTTGGCCAGGGCGTCAAGCCGCTGCAGGTCCTCGTCCACCAGGCCGCTGACCCCTACTACAATGTTGCAGGAATGGGCCGCTGCCACCGCCACCGAATCCCGGCACACGGCGGCATTGGTAAAGTCCACGACCACGTCGGGCTTGGCACTGGTCAGCACTTCTTCCAGGTTGGTGGAAAGGGGTACATCTCCGCCACTGGGCAAGGACAAAACACCGCCCCGATCCCGGCCACAGGTGGCCCCGACCAGAGTAAAGTCTTCCTCGCGGCACACTGCGGCCACCGTTTCCGTTCCCATCCGTCCCGTGGCCCCGTGGATTACGACCCTTATCGGCGCCATAGCAACCTCCCCGCTGCCAGCCAGGTTAAATTGCCGTCTATCTTACCACCAAACGACAGATCTTCGACTATAGCAGTCTGTCCGAGAAACGCCCTTAACGAGGCGGTGGGATATGATGATATGAGCCTTGAGTGAGGGTAAGCGATCAATGGGCAAAACCTACCTTCCCTATGACCCGGACCAGCAGTTGCTGCCGCCAGCGGCGCTGCAGGAGTGGCTGCCGCAGGAGCACCTGGCCTGCTTCATCTCCGACGTGGTGGACCAGCTTGATCTGGCGTAGATCACGGAGCGCTATGAACAGGAGAGCCGGGGCGGCCCGCCCTACCATCCCCGGATGATGGTGAAGGTGCTGCTGTATAGCTACTGCGCGGGGGTGGCATCGTCGCGGCGCATGGCCCAGCGGCTCCACGAGGACATCGCCTTCCGGGTGCTGGCGGCCAACAACACCCCGGACTTCCGCACCATCACGGACTTCCGCAAGGACCACCTGGCAGCCCTGTCGGGGCTGTTCCTGCAGGTGCTGGAACTGTGCCAGCAGGCCGGCCTGGTGAAGCTGGGGCACGTGGCGCCGGACGGTACCAAGGTCCGGGCCAACGCATCGAAGCACCAGGCGATGAGCTACGGGCGGATGAAGGAGAAGGAAGCCCAGTTGCAGGGGGAAGTGGATGAGTTGCTGCGGCGGGCCCAGGAGGTGGACGAGGAAGAGGACCGGCGGTACGGACGGGACAAACGGGGCGACGAACTGCCGGAGGAGTTGTCCTTGCGGGAGGGCCGGTTGCGGAAGATACGGGAGGCCAAGGCGGCCCGGGCCACCAAGCAGCCCTCGGAAAAGGGTCAGGCCGTGAGCATGATAGAGGAGACCATCAACAACACGGGCACGGTGCCCAGGGAGGTATCCGCCGAGGCCGGGTACTACTCGGCGAAAGCGGTGGAGGAACTCTGCGCTCTGGGAGTGGACCCCTTTGTGGCGCCGGAGAAGACCCGCCACGGCTGGGTGCCGCCACCGGCGCCCCGTGGCCGCATACCCAGGGATCTCTCTCCCCGAGACCGGATGCGGCGGAAGTTGCAGACCAAACGGGTCCGACAGCGCTACGCCCTCAGGATGGAGACGGTGGAACCGGTCTTCGGCCAGATCAAGCAGTGCCGGGGCTTCCGGCAGTTCCTGTTGCGGGGACTGGAGAAGGTCAACGGAGAGTGGTCGCTCATCTGCACCGGCCACAACCTGCTGAAGTTGTTCCGGTTCGGCGCCGGTTTCCCCGCCAAAGGGGGGGACCGGGTCCCGCGCCAGCCAGCGGGACTACTTCCCTGTTGGCCAGCGTCAAGTCATCCTTGAACCTGCCGCCATTCACCAACCTGCGCCGTCCCCCGATGGCCGCCTGAAGATAATCCCCGGACAGGCTGCTAGACAACCTGCACAATCTAGCGGATGATGTGGGCAATTAGTCCAGACTGCCATTACCACACCCCCCGGAGGTATTCCCCATGCGCACCGTTGACCTTGTTGCCGAAATTCTCAAGCGGGAGGGAGTACAGTACCTTAGCTGCTTCCCCACCACGCCGGTGCTGGAAGCCTCGGCGGTCGCCGGCATCCGACCCATCATCAGCCGCCAGGAGCGGGTGGGTGTGGGCATTGCCGACGGGTACAGCCGCATTACCTACGGCGACCCCATGGGCGTGTTCGCCATGCAATACGGGCCAGGCGCGGAAAACGCCTTCTCCGGCGTCGCCACTGCGTACTCCGATTCCACGCCCATGCTCATCCTGGCCCTGGGGCATCCCATGGACCGGCAGGGCGTACTGCCCCTGTTTAGCTCCATGACCAGTTATGCCGCCATTACCAAGTACTGCGAGCAGCTGAACAGTCCCAACCGTACCGCTGAAACCATGCGCCGCGCCTTCGCTGCCCTTCGCCAGGGCCGTCCCGGGCCGGTACTGGTGGAGATACCGTCAGACGTGGCTCTGGGCGAGGTTGACGAGTCGGCAGCGGCCTACGCGCCGTTGAAATCGTTGCCCTTCCCCGGCAACCCCAGCGACATTGAGGCGGCGGCCCGGGCCCTTTGCAACGCCAGCGCCCCGGTGATCCACGCCGGACAGGGCGTCCTATACGCCGGGGCTTCTGAGGAACTGCTGGAGTTGGCCGAGTTGCTGCAGGTGCCGGTGATGAGCAGCCTGGCCGGCAAGAGTGTCTTCCCCGAGGTGCATCCTTTGGCCCTGGGCAGCGCCAGTGGCGTGATGTCCGGCCCGGTGTACCAGTTCATGCGTCGTGCCGACCTGGTGCTGGGTGTTGGGTGCAGCTTCACCAAGCACGTCCGCTACATCAACATCCCCGCTGGCAAGACCATCATCCAGATAACCAATGACCCCCGCGACCTGAACAAGGACTACCAGGTGGACATTCCCATCATGGCCGACGCCAGGCTGGCCCTGCGCCAGTTGATCGATGCCTGCCGCGATATCGTGGGAGACAGCCGCCAATCCAGTCCTGACACCGCCGCTGCCATTCGGTCGGAGCGGGAAACGTGGCTGGGCCAGTGGACGCACAAGCTGACCAACAGCCAGCGTCCCATCAATCCCTACCGGGTTATCTCAGACTTTATGCAGGCTATCCCTCCGGAAGACGCCATAGTAACCCACGACTCGGGCAGTCCCCGCGACGAAATTCTGCCTTTCTACCGTTCCAACGGTCCCGGCAGCTACCTGGGCTGGGGCAAGTCCCACGGCCTGGGCACGGGCCTGGGCCTTATCATCGGCGCCAAGCTGGCCCAACCGGACAAGGTGTGCGTCAATTTCATGGGCGACGCCGCTTTCGGTATGACCGGACTGGATTTCGAGACGGCGGTGCGCAGCAACCTGCCCATCATCACCGTGGTGCTGAATAACTACAGCATGGGGGCCGAGGTAACAGCCATGGCCGCCTCTCACGAGCGGTACAACACCCGGGACCTGGGCGGCAACTACGCGGGCATGGGCCGGGACATGGGCGGCTACAGCGAACGAATCGAGGACCCGGCGGAGATCATACCCGCCTTCCAGCGCGCACGCCGCAAGACCGAAGAGGGCGAGGCAGTGTTGCTGGAGTTCATTACCGCGGTTGAGACGGACGTTTCGCACCGGCGGCCCTTTTAGGGGACCTGCCAAGAATTCCTTCCCTCTTGAGGGGAGAAGGTAAGGATGGGGGTGAATGGTAACAGGAAGGCACCGCCATTCACCGGAATTCTGGGGATAGGAGCGACGAATAATCCCAACGGTTGCCATTGAAATACCGTTGGGACGGGAAACCGCCTCAATGTCAGTGGTTGGAATTCTTCACTCCGTTCAGAATGACGGCCGCGGGGTTCAGAATGACAGGCGACGAGTTCAGATTTGCAGTTGCGGAAAAGGCATAACAGGTCAATTAAAGGTTTAGATTCCTGCCTTCGCAGGAACGACGATGTGATATAGAGGTGCAACCATGGAATTTGAAGATATCCGTTCTTTCCTGGGGAACAACCACCGGGCCATCGTGCAGACCATCCGGCCCAGCGGAGCGGTCCACGCCAGCGCCGTGGTCTGCGGCGCTTACGAGGGTTACATGGCCTTGGCCTCGGTGTACCCAAGGTCACAGAAGGTCCGCAACCTGCGCCGCAACCCCCAATGCACCGTCCTGTGCATAACTTCCGACTGGCGCACCTACGTGGTGGTGGAGGGCAAGGCCGAGCTTAAGGGCGCCTTCAACACCGATGCCGATGAGCTGCGGCTGTTGCTGAGGGACATCTTCCGGGCCTGCAGCGGCAACGAACACCCCAACTGGGAAGAGTACGACGAGGCCATGGTAAGGCAGGACTCGGTAGCCATCCTGGTGACGCCGGAAACGGTGTACGGGAAGTTGACGTAGGGGCTAGAAGGGCAGGTCATCCTCTTGGAATCGATTGGCATAAGCCAAGTGGTCGTCTAAGAACAGGCGAACAGTATAGTCGGACGGGTAACGTAAGTTAACCAAGCTGACTCTAAGCGAGTTCCGACAAATGTAGCTTTGGTCGCTCCATCTGTAACGTATCCCAGTCGCCTGCTCAGAGAACTCTAGTCTTGCACTGAATGGCCCCTGAGTCTCGCTATTTTTATTGAACCTGAAAATAGTTCGGTTCGACTCAGTTCAACTCGCTCAACGTACGTCCATTTTTCATAAAACAGCCGTAGGTCAGGGCGAACTCCTATCTTATCTATCCAGCGGGACCGTGTGCCGGTCGGTAACAGGTGCAGAATAGTTTCGTATTCTGCTGTGCTTCTGCATCCCACGAATTGAAGAGCTTCCAAGCCTATTCTATTTGGAACCATTACTTCTGCATTGCGGTGATAAACTATTCGGCTACGCTCACCAGATCCGAATGCTGAATCGTGATAAACAAGTTTAAAAGGAATGTTTTTGAAGAACTCAACATTGTCGTGGGGAGTCGCACCGACAGCTCCGGCGTTGCCGTCTGTGAAACAGCTATCTTCCTGGGACAAAACTGAAATGGCATCAAATATAAAGTAAATTGGGACAGGGCAATGAGAATCCAGCTCTTCCATTTGTCGAGGCCGAAAACCCTCGTTGCGGAATTGGGTTGGGGTTCGTGGCCTAAAGTAAAATCGAACGTCCTCTTTTCTGCGTGGGTCCGTTTGTGAAATCACATCTCTGCTGGCAATATCAACCTGCAAACTACCAGACTTTTCTGCTTCTACCCTGCTCAGAAGTTCGCCTCGTCGGAGAATGCTTACCGCGTTGTTGATGTCGGTGGAATGAAACAAATAGGCAGGCCACCACCGATGGGATCGGTCCATCCAGTTGGCCCGCCTAAGGCTCTCCAAATGCTGGCGCATCTCTGCGATTTCAGGTTCTGTTCTGAGGCTCATTCCGGTTCTGCGACACCAATCCCGGCCAATAAAGGCAAGTCAGCGTGGGTTTCACCTGATCCGGCATGTTGAAGACGTAACCCTGGTCTCGTATGTCTTTCAGCGCCCGAATGTTCCACTATAGCAACCGGCTGAATGTATGGCAGCTTGGTCAATAACGGGATTATCCACTCAGAATATGTGTCCAACCCTGAGGGGAAATTATCACCTCCGGCGAAACCTGCCCCTCGAAGCTGCTGCCACAATTCCAAGAATGCTTTATCCGGAATGGTAATGGTTTCGTTTGGCAGACCAAGAGTTAAAGATTGTTCATCACCGTCGACCTTTATTTGGCAAGTTGCCTTCCCGCTTGAAGCAGGGACTTTGGGATCCAGTACAATTGCCGCAATCAGGTCTGCCCAAACTTCGTTGAATGCTAGAGCGTCCGGTTCGCTCTGCAACCATTTCTTGATTTGCCGGATGTTGCGGTGCTCTGGACTAAGAAGGTCTGTCCTGTCCTGGAGGTGAATGTAAATCTCAAAAGGAAGGGGGTCCAAATACTTCTCCATCAGTGGACGCACTTGGGATTCCCAGTCCAGTTCACCGTTGCCGCACCCCAATTGAGGGAAGGAGACGGAGGTGATGCCGTGAATGTAGTAAGTGTCGACGAACTTCTTCAGGCCTGCCTCAATGTAATCGGGGTTTGAAGGGCTCCGCCAATGCTTCTTGGTTGGAAAGTTCAGGACCCACTTGTTTGGCGTCCGATAAAGCCATAGCTGCCCTATGTCGAATTGATCCTTTTCACAGAGCTCCTGGTACCTAGCGAACATCTCCGGATAGATGGTTTTAAAGTCTTTTGCTATCCCCTTGCCCATCGCTCCCACTGTATTCACGGTGTTCACTAGAGTGCGAGCTGGGCTGGTGAACAAATCACACACCACGTAAGTAATCATTTCGCCCCCAGTTTCTTGAAGCAAGGTACTGGTTGTGTTGATAATCGATCCGCTGATCACACTCAATATAGAACACCAGTTCTACCCGGTCAACAGATCACTGTCAGTTTATCTTTTCATTGTTATGATGTCGACGAATAGCTAGCCGAGGTTACATTCACTTTCTGAAAGTGCTGGTGCTGGATTTACGTGATGGTCCGCTAAACTAACGGAAGCACTCTATGTCTTGTGTTTATTCTACCTACAGAGTAGATTGAACTTCAAAGTACCTTTGTAGCTCGGAAAGCCGGAAACGGTTTATGGGAAGTTGACGTAGGGACCCGGTCATGCACGGAAAGTAGCTAATGGCTGACGATACACCGAAACTGAAAATTAGCCGTCTGTTGCTGGGGCTGGCCGGGGCTCTTTTCGTGGCTGCATTGGTGCTGACGGGCGGTGTGTTGATAATACTGGGCACCCGTACCGACACGTACCAGGCCCTGGAACGGTCGCTGGAGCGGTTCGTTGGCGGCTGAAGCCGGAAAGCAAACCAGATAAAAAGCTATCTCAGAACCGTCGGTGAACTTCTCAGCGGTGGCCAGCGGCGACATTTCGAAAGTCTTCACCTTCATCCCCGGATCCGGTTCGGAAGGGTATCTAACCTTCCCCCACCGAGGGGGAAGGGAATTTGAGATAGTTCCAAAGTCTTCCGCGGCGATTATCATACGCAAGTTACACCCAACTCAGATAGGCAATCAGGAGGTCTGAACTGGACGCCTCACCTTCGCAAGACTACCTGGGGGGAGGAACGCCGGGCTACCGCCGGGGCGGTCCCTTCGTCCTGACCAACCTGTCCATCGGCCACGGCTTCACCCACTGGTACGGCCAAAGCATCGTCGTACTGTTGCCGGTTATCCAGACTGCCATGGCCCTCACCAACTTCCAGTTCGGCGCGCTGGTTGCCATCCTCAACGTCAGCGCCGGCATTGCCAACATTCCCGCCGGCTTTTTCGTGGATATCTTCCGCCGCCACTGGGGGTTGATGCTGACCCTGTGCATGGCGCTGGCGGCCGTGAGCTACGGACTGGTGGCCGCGTCCCCGGGCTTCGCTATTCTGGCTTTGGTTTTCTTAGTACTGCCCCTGCCGGGCACCGTATGGCACATGCCGGCCATCGCTGCCATTTCCCAGAGGTTTCCACGGAGACGGGGATTCGGTCTGTCCATGCACGGAGTGGGCGGCCAGGTCGGCGACAGCATAGGGCCCTTGATTGTTGGCGCGCTGTTGACCCTGTTCGCGGGGGCGTGGCGGTCGGTAGCGCTGGTTTACGTCTTTCCCGCCCTGGTCATGACCGCTGTGGTCTTCTGGGCATTGTTCCGCCTGGGAGGAGAAGAGGATGAAGGGGGCCAGCGAGCGGAGGTTGGCGAAAAGTTCCGGGACGCTGGCCGGTTGCTGCGAAACCCGTCTATCCTGTCCCTGGTGATGGTCAGCAGCCTTCGGGATATGGGCGCCGTCACCTTGATGTTCTGGCTGGCCAAGTACCTGCACGATCCGGTGGCTGACGGCGGACTGGGATTTTCCGCGTTTATGGTGGGACTCCACCTGACCCTGCTGCTGATATTGGGCGTGGTTTCCTCGCCCATAGCCGGCCTGCTGTCCGACCGCTTTGGCCGCAAGCTGATCCTGATTCCCTGCCTGACCGTAGTGGGGGTGCTGTCCCTGGCCATCGAACCCGTGGGCGCGGGAATTCTGCTGATGGTTATCGTCCTGGCCATTGGGCTGTTCAGTTCTTCCATGAACCAGATACTCCAGGCCACGGTGCTGGACCAGGTGGGCCGGGGCACCGAAGGCGTCACCATGGGAATCGTCATGGGAGCAACCAGCATTTTGAGCGGCGTTGCGCCCCTGATAGCTGCGGTTGTGGTCAACAATTATGGCATCGGGGCAGTGTTCATCTATGCTGCCGTCCTGTGGGTGGCCGGAGCGGCTGTGTTGTTGGTTACGCCCTTGCGGCCTCCGCCGGGGGTGGAGACGGAGTAGGGGCGTTCCTTGGCGGGAAAGGAAATCATCCTGAGGCGTTCAAGGGCAGGAGATCGTGCCAATCGGTGGTTGGATAGCCGTGGAGGGCGTTGGCTGTCCCCTAAACCGGACGGTAGCGGTTAACTATGGGCAGGCGCCTATCCTTGCCGAAAGCGCGGGGGGTTATCTTGACTCCTGGCGGGGCCTGGCGGCGCTTGTACTCGTTGCGGTCCACGAAGGAAATCACCTGCCGCACCGCCGCCGGATCGTGGCCCATCTCCACCATCTCCTGGTAGCTGTAGTCCTCTTCCACGTAGGCCCGCACTATGGGGTCAAGTTTCTCGTAGGGCGGCAGCGTGTCCTCGTCCAGTTGGTCGGGCCTCAGTTCCGCGCTGGGGGGCTTGTTGATGATGGCCTCGGGTATGGGTGGCTTGTTCCCGGGCCGCCCACCATGCTTTTCGTTCCGCCACCGGCACAGGTCGTACACCAGGGTCTTGGGCACATCCTTGATGACCGCGAAGCCGCCGGCCATGTCGCCGTACAGGGTGGCGTAACCCATGGCCATTTCGCTCTTGTTGCCCGTGGTCAGGACAATCCAGCCAAACTTGTTGGATATGGTCATCAGCACGTTGCCGCGAATGCGGGCCTGGACGTTTTCCTCGGCAACATTGGCGGTGGTGCCCTCGAAGTAAGGCTCCAGCATGTCGGTGAAGGCCAGGTGGGCTGGTTCTATGGGCACCACCCAGCATTCAATGCCCAGGTTATCCGCCAGTTCCCTGGAGTCGCTGACGCTGCCCTCGGAAGAGTAGCGGGATGGCATGGTGACCCCCACCACGTTTTCCTTGCCCAGGGCGTCGGCGGCCACGGTGGCGGTGAGGGCTGAGTCAATGCCTCCGGACAGGCCGATCAGCGCCTTGGAAAAGCCGCTCTTGCGGATGTAGTCCCGGGTGCCGGTTACCAGGGCGTGATAGACCTCTTCCACTGGACCCATGACCCGCGCAGCAGCCGACGATTCGAGGGGCTGGCGGTCGGAAGCGCGGTACTCGGACACTGGCACCGTTTTTGGCGTTCCTATCTCCCGCAGTATGTTGGAGTTCTCCTTGCGGGACAGGGGCGCGCGCAGCCTGGCCCGAAAGACCGAGTCAATGTCCAGATCGGTTACCAGCAATTCCTCGGTAAAAGGCAGGGCTGCGGGCAACAAACGTCTCCGGTCATGTCGCAGACCAGGCTGGCGCCGTCAAATACCAGTTCATCCTGCCCGCCCACCAGGTTCAGGTAGGCCACGAAGAGGCCGTTGTCGGCGGCGCGGGTGCCGATCATCTTCTCACGGTGGGCGCTCTTGCCAGCGTGGAAAGGGGAGCCGTTGATGTTGACGATCAGTTCGGCGCCGGCCTCCCGCTGCACCGCGATGGCCCCCACCGGATACCAGATGTCCTCGCAGATGTTGACGCCCACACCCACGCCGTTGATGCGGTACACGGGGCACTCGTCGCCCCGGCGAAAGTAGCGATCTTCGTCGAATACGCCGTAGTTGGGGAGATACATCTTGCGGTAGCTGTCGATTAACTGGCCGTCGTAGCCGATAGCAGCGGCGTTGGCGATGTCCACGCCCGTTGCCGAGTCGCCTACTTCCACGTAGCCCACCACCACGGCAATGCCCCTGGCGGCGGCAACCACCCGCTGCATGGCCTCGACGTTGGCCTGCAGGAAGGACGTCTTGAACAGCAGGTCTTCCGGCGGGTAGCCGGTGATGGCCAGCTCGGGAAAGGCGACCAAGTCTGCCTGGCTCTCCCGGGCTTGCTCCACGTATTCAATAATCCTGGCCGTGTTGCCGTCGATGTCACCCACGGTGGGGTTCATCTGGGCCATGGCCAGGCGGAAGTTGCGAATCATGGACACTCCAGAACGGAACACCGCGATATCGGTACATATTAACCCTTTGGGACGGGGAGTGCATATACGAGGGACGGGCAGGTATTGTGCACTACCGATGCTCCGGTCCGGGAGCAAGCTATGGTGTGAGGGAAAGCCGGGGTCTGGGGGTGATGCCCTTTCGGACGATGGTGTTCACAAGGCTCCGTATATCTGGTCAAGGCCGGAATCGCGGTTGGCGGGCGCGCCTGAGCAGCGACTCCATTGGGCGGATTCCTGGCCGCATTGACACCCCGGAAGGGCTGAATCATACTTGCAAAGAGGCTATTTGCCGTTCAGTTTGACAATATGTAATCGGCGCCGGTGTTTTCGAGACTTTGGCGCGTAACCAACGAGGAGACAACATGTACAAGGAAATTCTGGTGCCCCTGGATGGTTCCGATGTATCGGCAAGTTCGCTGCCTACAGCCCGCCAGTTGGCTGAAGCCCTGGGCGCCCGGGTGCATCTTTTGCAGATTTCTTCCCAAACTGAAGAGTTCGCGGTGATGCGGGGCGCCGAGTTTGGAACCCTGGGGTCCGACTACTCTCAGCAGGTGCTGGACGAGGTAATGACTGCCCAACGCGACCGGATAGAGAAGTATTTGAACGAGGTTGGGGACGAACTAACCTCTGCGGGCCTGAACGTGGTCAAGGCCGTAGAGGACGGGCAGGCTGCCGACAAGATAGTGGACTACGCGGAGGCCGCGGAGATTGACCTGATAATTATGAGCACTCACGGGCGGGGTGGCGTCCGGCGCTTCCTGGTGGGCAGCGTCACCGACAAGGTAATCCGGTCGACCAATCTGCCGGTGCTGGTGATTCACCCCGAATAGACGCTCTTCAAGGCTATTAGCCAGTATGATGCTCGCATTACAGCAGGAAGGTTTGTCCAGGAAAGTTTGTCACTCTGAGCTTGTCGAAGAGTCTAGGGTCTCTCCCTAA